CCTGCCGCCGGCTCCTTCCGCTTCGAGGGCGCCGTCGGGGGACGGCCGGGCGGGTTCGCGAAAAGGCACGGAGAGACCCCAGAGAGAATCAAATCCATTTTGATTAAGCATTAATGAGCGACAGCGAATGTGATGGGGTAAAAAAGAAAAAAAAAATTAAAAGCTTCTTTTTGTAAAAAACAAAGGGGATAAAAGGGGGAAGAAAAAAGCGCGCAAGAGCGCTTCCCTTTTTCGGATCTTTGATTTCGTGATAGTTGAGTTGCCGATCCTCCCTACCTTTATTTACGCATTTATTTACGTTCCTGCTGCTATTGTCCCTCCGCAGCGCCGGCGGAGGCGCCGCCGCGCCCCCCGCCCCGCCTGGCCTGGCTCGGCCCGGCCCGGCTCGGCCCCGCGGCCCGCCCGCCTGCATGTGCCGGTCACCCCGCCGCAGGGCAGGGCCACTGGAGGAATGAACAAACGATGTGAAATAGGATGTTTTGTGTAGATAAAGCATTCTTGTTACATACTGGTCGATTCGTGATATGTTTTAACTTATTGTCTGTGCTTATTTATTGAACTTTGGGTTACTTAATAAATGTTTGAGCTAATATAAAACATATTACTTGACTTTTCCGGACACGTTTATATCAAGTTAATGTGAATGGATAAATAAAATCATTTTCAGTATGTGATATGAAGAATTATAGATTTTGATGTGGCGTGTGAGATATGAGAGGTGTCTTCAACTGCAGGCAAAAAAAAAAAATAGACAGGACTTCCTTCTGTGGTATTCACTGAGTCCTTTGTCACAAGTTTGGGGATAGTTTGCTTGCTTAACTTTGCATTGATGCCTTTCACTTGTCACAATTTTAATACTTCATGATTAATAAACTTTTGTTAATCTTTCTGTGTGGTTGGCCTTAAAAGTGCGAGTAACGAAAAGTTCTGTGGTGATGCAGGGCAGGGCAAGGGATGAAGGAGAGGGGGTCAGTGGGAGGCTAGGGCAGGCAGGCAGGCAGTGGGGAGATGATCAGTTTTATGGAATGTGAAATGAGGGCACACTGCTGGCAAGGCAAGGCCCATGAAAGAGAGAGCTCTTGCTTTACCCCCCTGCAAACTTTGATATGGTGGGAAAAAGAAATGCAATACATTGCCAAGCATCATACAGCCAGGTTTGGGCTTCTTTTTTAGTTCTTCCCCCCTCGCCCTTGCCTCTTATGCAATACACTAAGATCTCTTCTCCTTGTACATCAATTACACACCTCTTAATTACACACCTGAGAGTGCACGACTCCATAGGCACCCACAGAAGGGTCCTTGCTCGCTCCAAAGTGCATATTACATATGCATATTTAATTTAAAAGAGAAATAAAAGCAGAATAAATTATTGGTGATCCAGACCACAAGTGAGTCCTCTGGGAGTCACCTAAAGAAAGAGCCCTATGCCCTCCTGCAGGAGTCTGCTCCTGCAGGTGCTGTAGCAAACCAGGATGCTCCACCTGAGGTAGTCTAGGATAGGCAAGACAGGTCCCATACCACAATCCACACCACAGTAGCACTTGGGAAAAGAAGTCGCCGTGTTCTGTCTCTCCTTTCAGCCCTGCCTCTCTCCCCAGCCTAGCCTCGGGCAGAGCAGCTGCCTCTCCTCGCCCGGCTTGGCTCCGAGATTGAAATCTGTGTTCAGTTTGGTTCGGCCATCAAAGGCATGGGCACACAGGCTGCTTATGGAGCAGAGCTGGCTGGGGAACATCCAGCTTCCCTGTGCAACCTGTGTGACCCTGCATAGGCCAAAGGGAGGAGCAGCCAGCTGGGATGTCCCTTGGTCTTCCCAGTTCCACTGTGTTCTCTTCCCTATAGTGTGGCCTGCCAGGAGGGCGAAAAGTCTCCACTTTCATGCAGAAGAGTGCAAATCTCACTCTACTTCTTCCAAATGTATGGAAGGTTGTTTACAAGCACATAATTTTTACAGCTGCTTTATATTGCTATAAGCAAGACAGCTTTATGATGTAGGAATGTCGTAAAGTGTGATATGGAAGATCTTAAAAAAAGATGTGCTTTTCAATGGTGGAGAAAAATGCTCTTTCTGGCTGGGGGCAGGGGATTGAGACACAACCTGTAAGATCCAACTCTTGACACTGAACATTGCAGGTATGTGAAAGGGACCTTACAAAGGTCCTTCAGCTTAATGCTCGCTCTTAGAACATCCATCATTTCCTCCATATTCTATGCAACTGTAGTCCTGGTTATGAGCAAAGCTTTTTGATCCTACACAACTTTGATACAAATTTGATTTGTTTCCATAGCAATAGATCCTTGTGTTCTGAGTCCTGGAGATTTTTGAAATTATATGTACCCTTAGCATCTGCTGAAGCTTTGTAGCATAAAACATCTAAGCTGATGCTCTTATGTGTTTAACATGGGTGGAAGGAAGGAGACCACAGGCTTCACTCACATATGCTACACGCTTTGTCTGAATTATTTTGCTATAAAGTCTCAATCTTGCCGATGTTAAAAGCTAAAAATTAAACAGCACGAACTAGTTCTATCTAACAACATGAACAGCTTTGCTTCATTCACGTAAAGCGATCAAAATAAATGAATGGATTCCATACAAATTGAGAAGGAATAGTTATGCTGAATAACAATTAGCCTATTACTGACTAAGTAGGTAACACCAGGCACTGGGGCTGTCACAAGCTGGGCTTATTTGCTTATATTGAGGTGCATTTTAGCCTTAAGCTGTTCCACCCAGTGTGCAAGTAGACTGAGATTTATGTTCTTATGTACGGATTCATTTCCACGACGGCATATATTCATGTAATTCTACTTTCCTCTAAACACAACATCACCCCTAATGTCTAAGGAATATACATAAAGATAATGTCACTGAACCTTTCATTTGCTCTCTTGATGAAATGCTTTGACACTCTCTCTCTCTCCGCTCTTCCTCTGCTTAAATCCCCATGGAAGGCAGAATTTGCTCTTACCCACTGCTGGAGATTGCAATCACTGAGCAATTACTAATAAGGGAAGAAAGTTTGTGTAAGGCAAGGGATCAGGCAACACTGCAGCATGGATTATATTATTGTACTAGCTGTAATGATCCCTGCTCTTAGAAATGAAAATGTGGTTTAATTTGTGTTGTGGTATTTAAATTTTAATTTTTCAGAATAAAAATCTCTGCACATGAAAATGTATCTTGCAGTAATGGAGGTATGGCAGTTAACCTGTCAGTTGAAAGTATGTAACCTTCTTTTTCTCCTTTTCATGACAAAGGTAATCTCATCTGAGGGCATTTATGTGAAGAAATAACAGCATGGCATGGTGAAACCACTGGCTCATTAATCCTGGCATCTACTTCCTGCAGGGCTTCTTGATTAGTTAGATTCATTCATCAAGTATTTCAGAGTTTTTGATTTCTCACCACTGGTTAGGTTCACTGAGTTCGGGCTAAATTGAGCCAGAAGCAATGTTTATTAGTAATTTTGTAATACAGACTACTCTAATAATTCAGTACAAATATTTCATCTGAAATATATCCATTCACTCTAACACCTAATGCAGCTGTGTTCAGAGAGTACTGAGAGAACAGAGTGATTTGGCAGTATTTTCGAAATTATTAACATGAGAGCTAATAACAAAATCTTCTTTGTTTCCAGTGTTGGAATTAAGATTCCTTTCATTCTAAAGCAAGC